TCATATTTAACTTAATAAGAAATTGACAGTTTTTTGTAGTGGCTGTGCCATTTTGTGTAACTACCAGTAATGTCTGTCTGAGAGTTCTACTTGTTCTATATCCTCCCAGCATTTGGTATTGTCAGGTTTGCTTTCAATTTTGGTTTTGTTTTAGACATTCTAATAGATATGTAATGGCATCATATGGTTTGAATGTGATTTTCCCTGTGTATTAACAATGTTGGGCATCTTTTTATATGCTTCTTTGGTGAAATGTTAATTCAAAATTTTTGCCCATCTTTTATTATCTTTTTATTATTCAGTTGTAGGAATTCTTTTTTGAGGGTGTTGAGTCTTGCAATTTCTTTTTGTATTTTAGATACTAACTCTTTATCAGGTATGTCCTTTGCAAATATTTTTTCCCATTCCATCAGTTGCCTTCCATCAGTTGCCATTCCACTGTTTGCCATTCCATCAGTTTTGTTGATTTATTCTAGGTAAAAGAATATCAGATATGTATGTGTTTAACAAATATTTTCTCTCCCAATTTGTGGCTTGTATTTTTATTTTCTTAACAGTGTCGTTCAAACAGAATTTTTAATGTGGGTGCAATCCAGTTTATTGATTTTTAAAATGGATTGTTTTTTGGTATCCTGTCTAAGAAATCTTGTCTAACCGAAGGTCATGGAGATTGTCACTTTTGTTTGCTTCTAAAAGTTTTATATAGTTATAGACATGTTACATTTAAGATAATGATTGATTTTGAGATAATTTTTGTATATGGTGAAAAGTATAGGTCAAGAGTTTCTGGTTGTTCATTTTGTGTTTTTGTCTATAAATGTCCAGTTCTTTTAGCACCACTTGTTTAAGACTACCCATTGGTTTGCTTTGGCACTATTGTCAAAAATCAATTGATCATATACATTTATAGGTCTCTTTCAGTACTCTCAATTCTATCCTGTTCATCTATTTCTCTCTCTCTCTCTGTCTCTTTCTTTCTTTTGGATATTTAATTTAAATTTGAATTTATGGGCATAAAATTATTTATAATATTCCCGTGTTTTTTACTTCATTACTTTAGGCTCTATAGTGTTATCCCTGCTTTCATTTGTTACTGGAAATTTTCATCTGCTCTGTTTTTTTTTTTTAAGATTTTATTTTTTATTTATTTATGAGAGACCCAGAGAGAGAGAGAGGCAGAGACATAGGCAGAGGGTAATACAGGCTCCCTACTGGGAACCTGATGCAAGACTTGATCCCAGGACCCCAGGATCACACCCTGAGCCAAAAGCAGACATTCAACCACTGAACCACCCAGGCATCCCTCTCTGCTCTGTTTCTAATGATCACTCTGATCAGAGATTTATCAATTTCATTGATATTTTCTGAGAACCAACTTTTAGCTTCATTGATTTTTCTCTAGTGTTTTTTAATTTTAATTTCATCGATCTCTGTATCTTTATTATGTACTTCCTCTGCTTGTTTTGGATTAAATTCGGGATTTTTTTAGTGTCCTAAGGTAGAATTATAGATCATTGATTTGAAGCTCTTGTTCTATTATAGTACAAATACTCAATGCTCTATATTTCCTTCCAAGCCCCTTCATGTGTGGAGTAGGAACCTTATAACACTACTATTATTTTCATTCATTTAATTATATTTTTTAATTTCCCTTGAGATTTTTCTCTTTAACTCATGGATTATCTATGTGATATTTAATTCCCACATATTCAGTGATTCCCCATTATCTTTCTGTTATTGATTTCTAGTTTAACTACATTACTGTCAGAGAACATACTTTGTATAACTTCACGTCTTTAAATCCGTTAATGTTTGTTTTATGACCAATGTATGGTCTATTTTGGTGAATGGTCCCATCAGTGTTTTAAAAGATTATACATCTGGCTGTTAAGTGACGTGATCAATAAATTTCAGTTATATCCTGCTGCTTTATAGTGGTGTTCCATTCTTTTCTATCCTTGCTGACTTTTCATTTTAGCAGTTCAAGCAATTATTGAGAGAGAGGTATTGAAGTTACCAATTATAATTGTAAATTTTTCAAATGTTTCATCCAATTCTATCAGTTTTTGCCTCATGTATTTTGAAGCTCCATGATTTAGTACATACACATTTAGGATTGTTACGTATTGTTGATGAATTAATCCCTTTATTATTATATAATGTTTCTGTTTGTCCCTGGTAATTGTCTTTGCTCTGAAGTCTATTATATATAGATATTAATATCTGATGTTAATCAACTTTCTTTTCATTAGTGTTTACATATCATATCTGTGCTTATTCTTTTATTTTTAACTTGTTATATTTCAAGTGAGTTTCTTGTAAATAGTATATAGTTGGATCTTCTTTTTTTTACCCATCTCTTTTTTTATCAGTGTGTTTTTATCATGTACCTTTAATGTAATTGTTAATGTTAAGATGTAAGATTTCTAGTTTGTTATGTGTTTACTGTTTGTTCCCTCTGTTTTCATTCCTGTTATTTCTCTTTCTTGTCTTCCTCTGAATTTCATGAATGTTTTTAGTATTCTATTTTAAATTATATTTAAGGGGGCTATTTGTAACAGCTTTATTGAGATTCACCATCCATCCTTATCATCCAATTCACCAATTTAAAGTACAATTCAGTCAGTTTTGTATATTCACAGAGTTGTAGGAACACCATCACAATTAATTTTAGAACAATAACTCCCCTGGATAAACCCTATCCCCTTTACTTATGTCCCCTTTAATACCTCCCCTGTTCCCCAGCCCTAGGCAAGCACTTGGTATAGAATTCTTGGTTGACAATTCATCCCCACCATTACCCCCAAAGCTTGAAAATGTCATGTCATTGCCTTCTGAACTCTGTAGTTTCCCATGAGAAATACACTGTTACTTGAGTTGTTTTTCCCCTATAGATAATGTATTGTTTCTTTCTGGCTGCTGTCATGATTTTTTTCTTCTTCTTTAGCTTTCAGGAATTTTATTATGATTGGCATATCATGGATTTTTTGGAGCTTATTCTGTTTGAGTTTTGCTCAGCTTTTTAAATCTTTAGGTCTGTGTATTTCACCAGATTTGCACCATTCCCAGCCATTATTCCCTCAGATGCGTTTTTTAGTCCTTCATTCTTTTTCCTCTTTCTGATGACATGAATAGTAGGTACTTTGGTATTGTCCCACAGAGCCCTGAGATTCTGTGGATTCTTTTCGTTTCTATGTTTTCTATTAACTGTTCAGAATAGATAGTATTTATTAGTCCATCATCAAATTCAGTGATTCTTTCCTCTGTCCTCTGCATTCAGTGAAGTTCCTACTTTAATTATTTTATTTGGTTATTTATTTATTTATTAAATGTTTATTATTCTGAAATTTTCATATGGTTCATCTTTATACTCTATCTTTTTTTGTTGTGATTTTGTATTTTTCCATTTATTCTAAGAGTGTTTGTAATTGCTTTTTGGGGCATTTTTATTATAGTTGCTTTAAAATCCTTGTCAGATAATTCTTATGTCTGTATCATCACTGTATTGGTGACTGGGATTGCTTTTTTTTATTTAAGTTAATGTTTTTCTGGTTCTTGGTTTGTCTAATAATTTTGGATTGTGTCTTCGACATTTTGTGAATTATGTTATGAGACTCTGGATTCTATTTATATCTTCTGTTTAATAGACTGACAATCTGTTTAGGTTTGGAATGAACTTTTTGTTTCAGTTTTATGGACAATGGTTCTAATGTCAAGTTAGTTTTCACAGCTCTTGCAGGGCTCTTTGGTCTTCCCTATTTATGTGCTACCCAAGCTGTTTTAGAACCTGGGCAATATTTTACTCATAGTTCAATTCTCAAGACTTCTTTTACTTTAATTCTGGTTAGTTTCACACAAGGGCTTTTCAGAATTGTTGACTTCATGCACCAAATTAAAGAATTGCTTTCTCTAACTTCCTTTTCTCCATAATCCTCCCTGCTTCTCTAGTTAGGAAGGGGTAAGATGCTACTTCATTGCTATCCTTTGCTTAATTTAGGACATGATGGTTTATAGGGTGCAGTGCCCAGTGGGGAGAAAAAAGGGGGCCAGTTTCTTTCATTGTATGTGCTTTGAGTAGAGCCAAGAATAAGCTCTTTTGACTGGAAGGAGCAGGCTTTCTGGGGAATTTTGTATCTGCCCTTTGATGTTTCATTTTGTAGGCTACTTTAACACCCAGACGGTATTTAGGAGACAAAGAAAGAAAGAGGAAGGAAGGCAGGCAGACAGACAGGGAACTCACCATCATGTATTTCCCTGAGTCTCATAGTCCCTAGACAGTTTGCCTTTTTTTCTCCACCTTTCATGTATTTTGCCTTGGGTTTTTAGTTGTAATTAGCAGGAGAATCAGGGTAGTGTGCACTTACTACATATTATCAAAAATGAGAAACCAGTCATAATTCATTTTTGTATCTCTCGTAAAAACATACCGCAATGGGGGATCCCTAGGTGGCTCAGCAGTTTAGTGCCTGCCTTTGGCCCAGGGCGTGATCCTGGGATGGAGTCCCACATCGGGCTCCCTGCATGGAGCCTGCTTCTCCCTCTGCCTGTGTCTCTGCCTCTCTCTCTCTCTCTCTCTCTCTCTCTCTCTCTGTCTCTCATGAATACATAAATAAAATCTTAAAAAAGAATACCACAATGCTTAGTGTATAGTCTACACAAAAGAAAGGAGTGAGGGAGGAAAATAAATAGCTCCTTATCTCACAATATTAATTCAGCAAAACATATAGTAGTTAAGAATATGGCTTTTAGAATCAATTATCAATTTGAATTTTAGCTTCACCTACTTTCAGTGTAATATAAACAGTTTACTTAACTTCTCTAAGTCTCGGTTTCCTATAATATGGGGATGATAATATCTATCTCATAGGGTAAGTAAAAATGACATATATTTCATGCTTTTAGCAGAGCTTGACAATAAAGTTAATAAATATAGCTTCCAGTTATATTAGCAATAACAACAGCAATTATCAAATATCACTATCTGTTTCTTACACTCATAGGAAACTCTGCCCTTAAAGACAAAGAAGATCAATTTGGGAGGACACCACTTATGTATTGTGTATTGGCGGACAGACTGGATTGTGCAGATGCTCTCCTGAAGGCAGGAGCAGATGTTAATAAAACTGACCACAGCCAGAGAACTGCCCTCCATCTTGCAGCTCAAAAGGTGAGAAGTTAAATTACGCTGAAGTGTAAACCTTTTGTGAGATATTTATAAGTTGATTAATGGAACTATGCAGTTGACAGCTGATAAAGAAATCACAAGTATGTGACTCTTAGTTTCATATGTTTTCTTTAAAAACAGTATAAACTGCAGATAATAAAGCATAGATAATCATCAGTGGCTCCATTTATTTGTCCGAGTTTCTTGAGCAGTCAAATTCATTTTATGATCTAAGGTTAAGTCAGGGAAAAGGAATCAAAGTTGTATATACAATATGATGAACTATATTACAAATCGATTTGATTTGTGCATAGGAAAAAAGCAAAGGCCAAAAAGAAACACACTGAGATGTTAATAGGGGTCAGATTTTAAAATTGGTAGTATGTATGAATTTCGGTACTTTTTACTGTTTAAAAACTTTCCCCTGACAAATATTACTTTTACAACAAAAACTTGCAGTCTCTCTTAGAACGTGAGCATTAAGAAGCATAAAAGAAATTTATTTTCTAAATGTATTCCAACTTTTTAAAAATCTAAAACTATATTGCCAGTAAAAAGGATTTCGGGTTTTTTTTTTAAATAATTTTTAAAAATTTATTTATTAATGAGAGTTAGAGAGGCAGAGACACAGGCAGAGGGAGAAGCAGGCTCCATGCAGGGAGCCCTATGTGGGACTCGATCCCGGGACTCCAGGATCACGCCCTGGGCTGAAGGTGGCGCTAAACCACTGAGCCACCAGGGCTGTCCGATTTTGGGGTTTTTAAAGGCATTGTTAAAAGCTGAGATTTTTAGGATTTAATATATCAAAAAATTAAAATGGGAAGCTTCTAAATTTATTTAAGGACTTATTTATCTGAAAATGATTTTTCCCTCTATAAAATGATTATATAAAATATATATTTCCAGTGTCTGATACTTTCCTTCTTATTATTTTAGACATATATTTTTGGAATAAAAAGCAATAAAAAAAATTAGTTAGATCCTGCAGAAACTGTTAGAGTTATTTCCCACTTAAAATGTGAACCAGATATAGCTGATTAATTGAGGGGTTAGAAAAATATCTTTCTCATTAGTTGAATACAGAAAAAGAGACTGACATTAAGATATATTTCTGAATACGCTGGTTACATGCTATGATCAGTTAGGTCTGTCGGGTTATTTCCAAAGTTATTGCTCTTGAATTTGCTTTTCATTATAGTAATTTTTTAAAAACTCCCTCATTTTCAATTTCAGTTTTAACTACCGCCTAGGTATTTATAACCTTTCACCTAGGCTTGTCAGCTGCTAAAATTATTCACTCAGGAAGGGTAACTCCATTTAACTTGTTATCATAAAAAAGTAAACATTTCAGATTGGAAATAGTCCCAGTATCATGAATTTGATACGCTTTAGATTTTTCATTGTGGTTCATTTAGGTTTAAAACCCAACTTCAAAAATGTAGGCTAGAAGAACCTAACTTCACATCAAGTGGGTCATGTGAAAAAACTGAGGATTTGAGTTGATGAGCCTCCAGTATGTCATCCTTGTAGAGGTATAATGTGACCAAAAAGGTTAGAAAAGGGGTTGATTTATAAGTCTCTTCACAAGATGCAGTGCATTGTTTTCTTTTGCTTTTTGCTTCTCCTTTATTTTTTTACATTGTGATTTTCTACAGCATTAAAGAATAAATAGAACTGTGATTTACGTGTTGCAATTTACATAACTGATTTCATAAATAACACGTTTCATGGTCTTTCAACTATCTGATAATTATGCATTTCCCCCTTTCTCTGTGTTGTGGTTTGTTTTTGCATATTTGCCCAAAGCAGTAATGTATCTTTAGGCTACACTAGCACTAGTATAATTTCCAGAATAAGGGTTGCAGTAAATCTTTAGTACTCTACTCTGTCCAGTTCAGAACCAGGTACTGTGTTTAATTTTGTGCTTTATTCAAGAACACCACTATTTTAAAGACCAGGGATAGTAGAGATCCAACAGGAATAAGATTATGAAGAATCTAGAACTAATTTTCAAAGAATAATTGGAGATATGTCCCAATTAGGGACATATCTATAGCACACCCTGCCTCTGAGCAGACACAAACACAAATTTTCTTTAAACATTTCACCCTAAACTTCCAGGATTCCTCCATACTACAAAGACCAAACAAGATCTCACAGTGAAAGACCAAACATTTAAGAAAGTAATCCATCAGGAATGAGAGTCTACAGAAACAATAAACCAATTTATTCCCTAAGAAACCTTCGATATTGGTATCATTAGAAACAATGTAAAACAATAATTGATTGAATGCTTAAAGATATAAAAGAAGACGGTAGCTCAGTTAGTTGAGCATCTTCTGACTCTTCATTTCAGCTCTGATTGTGATCTCAGGGTTGTGGGCTTGAGCTCTGTGCTAGTCAGGGAGCCTGCTTGGAATTCTCTCCCTCTGCCTTTCTCCTGCTTGTGCAGGTGCTTGCACTCTCTGTCTCTCAAATAAGTAAATAAATCTTTTTTAAAATGATATAAAAGAAGAAATCAGAAAAATGAGCAATCAGGGATACCTGGATGGCTCAGTCGGTTAAGCATCCAACTCTTGATTTTGGCTCAGGTCGTGATCTCAGTCCAGGTCGTGGGATCGAGCCTTGCATCAGGACCCTGTGGAGTCCACTTAGGAGTCTCTCTCTCCCTCTGTTCCTCCTCTCCAACTCCCTACACTTGGATTCACATGTACATGTATGTGAAAGAAGAAAGGAAGGAAGGAAATAAGAAAAGAAGGGCATTCATGAGACTTTCAGAACTATGCACAATTCTGACCATGACCCCTTATTTTAGAATAACCCATTGGCCAAAAACATTTATAAAGACTAAACAAAATATATATACATTGTTTAACAGCATTGAGAACAGTCAGCACAAGCAGGATCTAAGAAATTACAATCATTTGGAGAAGAGAAACATGGGAAATGAGCACCACATTTATCTGGCTGTATCTTTCAGGCATCTTCCAAAGTGGAATGCAAAAGAATACAACCCTAGCAGGAAGTGATGGTTCTAGTAGGCTGAAAAACCGCAGGTAGAGTCTGGAATTAGCAGTGGCGGGAATGTGGCAAGGTAAAATCCTGGGAGAAGGGAACTGCAGAGAAGGAACCCAAAAATCTGGGTACAAATTCTTGCAAATCATTAGCAGATTCCTAAACTGTGCTTTTGCTGGGTAAGGCTCAAAGAAACCCAGCAGTAAACAACAGCTGGGAGACTAAAGAGCTAAGCAGAAATTGTTTTAAAAATTTCCTATATTTTCTTTCTAACATAAGTCTTTAATACACAACAAGTGGATTTTTATATGGGGGTCCTTTCTCATTTTAAAACATATGAATAACTAATTTTCCCAGGACAACCAAGCTCATTAATTTTTAGCCATTTTAGTGTCTGCTATATGGCAGTGCCAGGCTTTTGTACTATGTACCTCCCGTGGTTTGATTTTGTTTTATTTTTAATTATGTTTTTTAAATAAAGTATCCCACATATGAGGGAGCTACTAAGGAAATTTGAAAATGACAGTTGCACCATTAAAGTACATTAGGGAGTTGAATATGGCAACTAAAGTTCATTTGGAAGAGGAAGAAAGAGGAGATGCATAGAAAACTATTACTTTTTAGGCCAGTAGAAAGAAGGAGTTCGATCCAAGAGATATATTGTAGAAATAGAACTGTTCATTCATTAAGTAGTTGCCAAATGTCTATGTAGTCATGATGATGCACTTAGAGGAAGTATTAAAAAATGAAGCACAAACACTTGCTGTAAAAAAAAAGTACTGTCCATACTGATCCATATTAAATTTACATTTGTCTTTGTTTAGTGAACCTCTGATATATCACATATCAAATATTCTTTTCAAGTATTGTCTATCCCACTTAATTCAGTTATCTGTGAACTCAGAAGTGTGCTATTTGTGTAATCATCAATATTCATATGTATGTGCATGAATGCATTCATTCAACATATGTTCATACTGTTACTATGTAACAGGTGCTGTGCTAGGGCCTTGGAATACAAAGATGAAAGATATGATTCCTGCTCTTAAGTTGCTTACAAAGATCATGGATAAAGATATCAAGTGATAATTAAAGCTGGCCTATCTCCCTTATATATCTAAGTGTTTTATAAAATATCAACAGCCGTGTCATGTAATAGTCATTTATTATGTTTTGGGGGGTGTTTTGTGATAGTGAACTAATTATGTTATCTTTCATTAGGTTTATTAGTAGGAAAAACTCTTGTTGCCATAGCATTTTGTTCATGTCTCCATTAGAGGCCTATTAACTTGTATTGTAATTATTGCTTACTTGTCTCTTTCCCACAAGACTGGATCTCCAGGCAAGAACCTTGTTTTATTGGTTTTTGAATCCCGTAGAATCTAACACGGTGTCTGACATGTCTTGGTTGAATGAATGAATATACTTTGGGTTACTTATATAGAAAGTCATTATTAATACAAATGCTTGACATTTTGTTTATTAGAACCATTTATCCAGTTTCAAAATACATATATGGGAAAAACTTATTGAACCATGCTGATTGGCTTAGTTATTTTGACACATATTCACTACTTTAGAAATAAATTGGTATTAGTCCAAGCAGCTAAGAAAATGTTACCCACAAGAATAAAATTAATCTCAATATACTGAACATCTGTACCTAATTTGTTTTTTATATGTACCCTCAGTTTAATCCAAGAAACTAATCAATCAAACCTTTTCTGGGTTTCTCACAAACGATATCTAATTGTTAGAAATGTTTTCCTCCAGGGAATCTACTATTTCTCTGACTTCCACAGATACATTTATTTGTTAATAAGGATAAAAAATCCTGAGCAATCTTACTAAATGTTAATAGTTATGCATTTTTAATCTTTCAGGAGGTTATTAATTTGTCTTCAAGAAGAGTAAGACTACCCACTTTGAAAAATGATATCATGTTAAACACAGAAACTAAAGAAGCTTCAGACTGTGATTATGTTGTG